TCCTATTAAAACTCCTAGAGATAAAAATATCTCTAGAAGTAATTAAGGCTTTTCTTAAAGAAAAATGTAAAGTATATCTATTATCTAAAGATAATAGAAATATCTATAAAAAGTTAGATAATCCTATTAAATATAAAATCTTAGATAGGATATATAGTAATTTAGATGGACCTTTACTATCTATCTATAATAAATATAGGTATTATATCACTTTTTTAGATAAAAAATCCTAATATTTATAGATAACCTTATTATATAATAAAAATAATATTTATAAAGTATTTAAAAACTATAAAGCTTTAATAGAAAATACTACTAATAAAAGGATTAAAGAACTTTTTACTAATAATAGTAGAGAGTATATAAATAAATAATTTAAATTAGCTTTAACTAAATATAGTATTAACTATATAACTACTTTTAATTATACTAAAGAGCTTAATAGGCTAATAAAAAGAATAAATCTTACTTTATTTAATAGGGTAAAAGTATTATTTATATAATTAAAAAGCCCTAGCTATTTATAAAAAGAAGTATTATAGGCTACTACTTATATTTATAATAGGTCTTTATATAAAGTATTATACTATAAAATATCTTTTAAAGTATTTTATAATAAAAGACCTAATATATAGAATATTAAGGTCTAAGGCTCTTTAGTCTATTATTATATAAATAAGTATAAAATTAAGCTATCTTTTAGAAAGGAAGAAGCTATAATTATAAGCTATAGTAATTATAAATACTATAAGCTATAGGACTATAAAAGGTAAAAAAGCCTATAGTCTAGGGATATTATAATATATAAAAATAAATTTCTAGAGAGACTATCTAGAAATATAAATCCTTATTATAAGAATAGTCCCTAAAAAAAAACTAAGTTTATAAGTTTAGAGAAAGTTAGTATAGATCCTATATCTATATTTTCTAATAAAAAAGATAATAAAGTATTAATTAAAGCTAAGAACTCTAGAAGAATTACCGCTAATCCTAATTATAGGATAGAAGTATAAATACCTAAATTATATATTATAAAGGATACTATATTAACTAACTATATTAGCTTAATTAAAACTAATATAAATAATAGGTTTTTATTAACTACCTTAATACTATCGGAACTAAATAACTATTAAAAAGCTATTAATAGTCCGGAAAAGGACGAATAGTTAAAGGCTTACTATACTAAAATAGAAGAATTAGAAAAATAAGGAACCTATAAGATAATAAATATATTATCTAATATAAACCTTATTAAAGGTAAATAGGTTTTTAAAAATAAATCTATAAATAATCCTAATCCGGATAAAGATTATATAACTAATAGTAATAAAACTATTAGATATAAAGCTAGATAAATAATTTAAAGATTTTATTAAAAACTAGGGGTTAATTTCTTAGAGACCTTTTTTATTATATATAGAACTAAGTCTTAGTATCTATTATTAATAATAGCTATTAATAAAGGCTAGTATATACTATAATATAATATTAAAAATACCTTTATATATACTAATATAGATACTAATATATATACTATCCTATCTATAGGAGTATATAAAGATAATCTTAAAAAGTGCTATTATTTAAAGAAAGCACTATATAGTCTAAAATAGAGTCTTAGACTTTAGTATAAATATCTATCTAAAATATTAACTAAATTTAATTTTAGAGTATTCTCTTATAATAAGGGTATTTATATAAACTCTAAAGATAAGTATATATTTATATATTATATTAATAATATATTAGTTATATATAAAGATTTAGACTATATAAGAAATATAGTAGCTAAAATTAGCTACTATATAAAGATAGAAGAAATTAGTATAATATTAATATTTTTAGGTAATAATATTAAAATTAATTACTAAATAAAAATACTATATATAGACTAAAAGAGTTATATAGAGAAATTACTAAATAAGTTCTCTATATTAAGTAATTCTAGTTATAAACCTATTAAAATACTAGGAGAACTAAAGCTAAAGTTAAGAAAAAACGATATTAGTATAAGCTTTAGTAATATTAATAATTATTAGAAATAAATAGGGTCTTTACTCTATTTAGCTTTAAAAACTAGGCTTAATATAACCTTTATTATTATATATTATATTAGATATATAAGTAATCTTAGTAAAAAGTATTTTATAGCCTTTAATAGGATATAGAAATATTTACTAGTATATCCTAAATTAGGATTAATATATAAATATTTAGAAGAAAACCTATATATAAAAGGCTATTCTAATTCTAATTAGGGTAATAATATAGATTAGCGAAAATCTATATTAGGCTATATATTTAGCTTAAACCCCTCTATAGGATTAAATAATCCTATTAGCTAGAATTCTTAACTATAAAAAACTATAGTAATTAGTAGCTATAAAACTAAATATATAGCTTTAAAAGAAGCTACTAAAGAAGCTATATATCTAGTTAATATATTTAATTATTTAAATAAAGAGCTAGAATTAGGGTATATAATTAGTATATTTATAATTTTAGTTAATAATAATCTAGCTAAGAAATTAGCTAAGAATCTATAATTTTATAAGAAATTAAAATATATTAAAATTATATATTATTTTATAAAATAAACTATATTAAAAAGAAAGATTAATATAATCTAAATACCTTCTAAATATATACTAGCTAATTTTTTAACTAAAAATATTAATAATATCTTATATAAGTCTTATATAGATCTAGTTTAGCTAGATAATATATAAAGACTAAAAAAGCTATAAAGTATTCTTTTCTATATATAATATTTTATCTTAAAAGGTTTTAATTATATACTAGTTTTTAATAAGACTTTATAGCTATATATACTATATACTAAAATCCTTATAAAGATTATAAAGATTATAGGGGTATATTAGTATAATAATATATATATTATATTAGTAAAGTATACTATAGAGGGAAGAAAAACTATATTTATCTTACCGGTACTATCTAAGGCTACCCTAGATATATACTATATAGTAAGATTAATAATATAGAGAACCTCCTAGTATAATAGTAAGATAATAAAGATATTATAAAGATATTATAGATTATCTTAGATTTGCCTCCTAAAGGAGTTATAAAAATATACCTAACTTCTATCTCTAATATAAAAAAACTAACTTCTTAATTTATTCTATTTTCTATTATAACCCTATTTCCTATTTAGGATAAGTATAACCCTACTAATATATCTTATATAATCCTATTATATAAGATTATATAAGATAGGATTCCCCTAACGAGTTATAGTCTATATTAGACTATAATATATTATCTGCTAAATTGCTCACAGCAGTATTATCTTATACCTCTCTAGGCCGACTATAGAAAGTGGCTTATACCGATATACTACTAGATAAGATTCGGAAAGGACCGTATGATCTTTATTATATTAGGGTCACTAACGACTAAGTACTGAATAGTACGGAAACGATAGTGTATATAAGTGCAGAAACGGCTCTACACAGAGCCGTCCAATGAGATATAAGACAGGTTTATATAAGAAAAGGGACTTCTGGGATCACAGTTATACTAATATTTATTAATTTTTACCCCCTAGGATTTAAGTATAATCACTTATATAATACCTTAGGAAACGGAGAGCCTATTTCCGCTTAGTAGGGGAGGATATGATTCTAGGAGACCTTTTCTTTAAATAAACTTATTTTATATCTTATTAGTCGGCTCCGTATAGAGCCCTTTCTACACTTATATACACTATCGTTTCCGTACTATCTAGTACTTAGTCCTTAGTGACCCTAACTAAATAGAAACCATGCGATCTTTTCCGAATCTCACTATTATAAGCTTATAAAGTATTTATTAACTTATTTAGCTTAGTCGATATTAAAAACTTAATAAATGTAAAGGATAAAAGGTCCTTTCAATTGTCAGACGGGATCAGCTGACATGGGCATGTCAGATGCGTGACGTGGCCGAAGCGAGCGGGGTTCGTCATATGACCTGCCCTGTTCCTTGGCACACTATTTTCCTAAAATCCCAGGGTCCCCGGACCCCCCTAATTCTGACAAGAATTAGTCTTGGCACATAGAGACAATACATTGATCCCCTCCCACAGCCATTATATCTTACCCGGCTGACAGGCCATACACCCGCAGACTGTATATCTCTACAATAAATAAGTTATATAAAGAAACTTCTTAGTCTAAGCGCCTATCTAGTAGCTCATAAAGAGATATATTAGCCGGAAATATACCTTTCCCGTTATATCCTTTATATATTTATATTTTATTGATAGTAGCTGCCTTAGATATCACTTACTAGCTTTAGGAAGTCACTTACTAAGCCTTAGCACTACTTTATTAGCCCCTAATATATTAATAGTCGAGCATCTAGCTACTCTCTCTAATACACACTTATTTCACTATTCAATCTTCCACTTACTAGAGTTGTAATGTTAGTTCATATCAATTCGTATCATCTAACCCCAGTATCACCGTTTAACAATATATATAAAGGGGATCTTAGATAAGAAACAAAGGTCTAGTAAAGGGGGCTTTATTTATACTATACAAATACTAATACTAATAGTAATAGTAAAGATTCGGCTCGAGCTACTTCTTTTTATTATCGTACGTTTTAATAATATAAATATATAGGAATCTAAAGGTATTATTCGAGTTATAGTTATAGATAAAGGGGAATTAGTCGCTTTCCTTCTACCAGATGGATAACAATTCATCTTATATAAGGCTACATCGAGTGACACTTCAGGAAACATGGCAGCTTTAAAAAACATATCTGAGTTGATATCAGTCTTGCGCGCAATCCAAAGTTGACGTCATAAAACATACTACAGGCATTGATCATATTCGTCATCATGTCCCCCCAAAGCGGTATTAGCAAAGTGATGTTCATGTCTCTCCATTGCCCAGAAGGTCTATGGGTATAGCGGCCAAAAGCGACATGAAACCAATCCAATCATCACGTCAGACTAAGCAGGGTGACCGGCGGAAACCAAATTCTCACGGTGCGGGTGCTGGGGGAGGGGCATCAGGCTTTTTTTCCACTTTAGGGCCCCCTTTGCCCCCTCGGCGATTGGTGCCACCTAACATCCACATCGCGAAACTTCCGGGAACATCTGGTCCTCTGGCCTTAGCCTTTTTAGGGCCTAGAGAAAAGGTAAGCACATGTCTCTGGGAGTGTTTGAAAGGGGAATTCTTACCATCTGCTTTCTTCTTTTGTTCGGCAGGTGGATCGGCAGGTTTTACCGGGGGCTCTGGCTCTGGTGCAGGGGGAGGGTCTTCCTTGGGCTTTTCGGGAATTGGCCACATGTGCATAGTGATAGCCCAATCAGGCTCGATCACAGTCTCCCAAACCTGTGGGAGGATAATGTCACCATTCGGACCAATAAGGTCATAATGGCCCTCTGCCACATGAGGTCCAATGACTTCAATATGGAGGAAAGCCTGCCGGATAAGCTCTTCCATTCCCTGTAACCAAGGTTAGAATAAGAAACTACACGAACGGAGGAGTTCACGTACCTTCCAGGTAGCACATAATTCAAATGGAAAACTGAATTTTCTCCCAACAGCGTCCTTGAATTTGATAGGCTGCTTCTTCTCTGGGGGTGGCGGCGGTGGCGGCGGTTCGGCCGCTTTAGCAGCCGCCTCAGCGGCCTCAGCGGCCGCTTTGGCTGCTGCTTCATTAGCCGCGGCCGTTGCTGCTGCTGCAGCCTCAGCCGCGGCAGCGGCTGCAGCCTTCTCCGCCTCCTCCTTAGCCTTTGCGGCATCCTCTGCTGCCTTTTTTTCGGCATCCGCTCGAGCAAGTGCCGCAGCTTCCTGGGTAATCTTTCTATCATGCGCGGTCTGCGCCTCCTGAGCTGCTTTCTCGGCGGCCGCGCGTTCAATAGCCTGCTTTTTGGCAAGCTCTTTCGCTTCGCGTTCTTGGCGGTCATCCAAAATCAACTTCTCTAGCCTCGCAATTTGCTCATCCTTGGCAGTGTCGGCTGGTGGAGGCGGAGGTGGTGGAGGGGGAGCGGGTTCAGGGGCTGGAGCTGGGGCCGGAGCCGGGGCAGGGGCAGGTTCGGGAGCAGGCGTCGGGGGGGGGGAGACTTAGGTTCGGGTTGCACTGGAGGAGAAGGCACTGGGGGATAGGAGGGCCAATAATGAGGAGGCATCATGCCCGGGATCGGTCCCCCGAAATAGCTGGGTTGATCGCGATAGAAACCTGCCGGACCGTAGGCCATCAACTCGTGAGGATACCCAGGGTAAGGGGAGTGGGCACCGTGAGGACCCATCGCGTGTGACATTGGAGGCATTGGCTGCATTGGATTGTGCAGCTGAGGCGGCTGGCGAGGCGCATGTCGTGGATGAAGTTGGGGTTGATCGGGAAGAAAATGAGACCCAGGTGGAAATTGAGGGGGGTACCCATAGGGGTGGAGCATTGTAGGGGTTGGGTTGACCATGAGGAATTCTCATGAGTTCTGATGTGATCGGGGGAGGATTGTGGGCATACGGGCCATGGCCCGGGGGAGGCGGAGGGTAGGGAGTGTAAGGTGGACCAGAGGACTGGCTGGGAGCGTATCCAGGGGCGGGTGGCATAGGTTGTTGCCAACCCCTCCGATCATTTCGACCAAAATTGGGAGGGTACTCGTCGGCGGATTCGGCACTATCGGGAGAATCTGGTGATTGATGTCTTCGGCCTCGAGGGACGAACGCCTGATGTTCTTGAACCATACGTCGCGATGTTGGGCGACGGCCCGAAGCGGAACGTGAACCGTGGGGCGGACGACTGCGGTGCGAAGTTCTTGGTCGGGAGGCTGAATCAGATGGTTTCAATTCATCCGGATATGGCAAATGCGCCCACTCATCATAATCCTGGTACTCATGACTTTCTAACTCGGAAGATGTAGGGACATGGACACCAGACGAGTCCTCGTCGTCGGAGTAAGAGCGATCCGAACCGTGGGGGTCTGGATCAATCGAGATACTGAGCCTGGAGAGAAGGGGAAAAGGGTGAGAAAGTGAGTTTTTTTTTTTCCCTTAAAGAAGGGGGTAGAGGGGTGAGATAGGATTGGGTATATAGGGGAAAAACAACAAACATACGTCATAGAGACAATGAGCAGGGAATAATAAAGATATAATATATATAATATATATCAAGGACTTGTCCTCTCACTCTCTCGCATGCGCGAAGTGAGGAGGGAATACCCAAGTAGGGTTTGACCAGAAGTTTTGGAGAGGAAAAGAAAAAGATCGCGGGGGAGGTGTTTCGCGCATGGACGATTTTCTCTTTCCTCTTTTCTCTTTTCTGCTTTTCGTCTCTTTTCTGCTTTTCTTTTTCTTTTCTTTTGATCTCGTTTGAATAGAGATATAGAAAAGAAGAATAAAATAAGAGTAGAAATAGAAATCAATACCCCTTATAAAAGAGACGGTAGTATATGTAAAAAAGCAAAAAAACAAAAACAACTCAGGGTATATTATATGCAGAAGAGAAAAGAAAGTAGAGAAAAAGAAGAGTCCTTGTCAAATACAATATATATCTTTTTTTATTAGGCCTGTTGGGCATTTTATTGTGTGTGTTTTTGTATTTTTTTTCCCCTTAAGACTCTTCTCTTTTTTTTTTGACACATCTGCTGCCCAAACAAAAATATGCCCAATATAGTATCTCTCTCCATATACTTACAAGTTTACTTATGTGCTCCATATAATCGAACACTCTAGAACATCCATAGATATATGTATTTTCTTTTATTAGGGTATTCTCAAATCAAAATGCTTAGTTTTAAGCCGCCTGAATATTACTTTGGCGATTCAGCAACTCCTTGGCTGCAATCAGCTCACTTCGACTCGATGCCCAATGTTGGTCATCCATCGACCGTGACTCAACAATCTCGCCCAACTTTAGGAGCGCAAACGCCTTCAATCGTTCTAAGGTCTTCTTGGGAAGTTGACCTGATACGCCTGCGTAATCATTGTCAAGCATCCGAGTTGAGGCCTGGGGACACCTGGGTTAGAATGAAATGAGTCACCATTAACCATTATTTGCTGACTTACCAAAGTTAGCCCATAGAATCCTCGCAAGTAGTCATCACAGAGTTCAATGCTTCGACTGAAGTGTTGCACCGACCTTCCAAGGAGCTGGGAGGCGTCCCCATCCGAGGCGCAGATGTATAGCAGTTCACCGAGGCGCGAATGAATCTTACATTTCATGTTAGTGACCGTAATCCCAAAAAAAGAGAAAAAAGAAATAAAAATCATTATGGAAGAAAAAAAGCGCATGATATCCATACATTCCAAGAGTTAGGAGCGATGAGTAAGGCCTCCTCAAGGCTAAAAATGGCCTGGGAACCCAACCCCTGTGACTGATACAAGTCGGCTAGTTCACACCAGGCTTCGGCATCGGTAGGGATGGCATCGAGAAGTTGAATAAGACCGGAGATTGCGTCAGATGGTCGGTTGAGCGAGCGTAACAACGCTACCCGGCGCTTTAGGATGGGCTGCGTGTATGGTTAGTCTTGCATAAACTATGATCACGCCCGGGACCTGCAACCAATACTGACCACATTCACCGGACTCTGTGACAGGGTGTTGTCGTATTCCTGCAGGCATTTTTCTAGCGCCGACTGATCCTTGGCGGTTGCCTCCTCGTACAGGCCTCGAAGTCCCATAATCCTTTCGTTAGAGGGTCCAAACCGGAGGCTGAGGCGGTTCAGGCAGGTATGTGCTGACTGGTCATCTCCCGTCCGGAGACAGGCTAACAGAAGCTGTTCTAATCGTGCATAGTAATCTGCAGTTTCTGAAGAATCGGATGAGCTAACCCTAGACCCGGATTCCTGGCCAAGGATTGCTGGTGCTTGTTGAGCAAGATGAAGAGCAGAGACCAGATCCGATCCGCTGATCTCGCGGATATCAGCGACAGGACCAGCCATAATAAACTGTCAAGAATGATTACAGCTTCAAAGGACCTTCAAGAAGAATTGCAATTTGAGAGCAGGATCCAATTAGGACAGATGTTGAGAGAACAGAGTGCACCGGAGCTTGATTGGCCACAGTCCCGTGATCCGATCTCTTATCGGGGGGGGGATTCCCCCAAACCCAAACGCCAACTACCCACCCCGCGGAGCTCGGGTTGCTTTCCACTTTACATCTTTCATTTCTCCGTTCTTGAACTATGGCTGATCTGACAGCCCAATTTATAATGCACCTCCAGTCTTACTAGGGGGCTTCATTATTATTCTTCTCTTGACTTGAGCTTGTGACGATTGATAGCTCCGACACACGATGTGGGCACATGTCTTCCCTAGATTGACCAACGCTAATCTCTAGTTACTCCAGGTTTGAAAAATCGCTTTATGACCTTATCAAAGGTCTCCGGGGTCATAAGGGGGGTGAAAATGAATACATTCAGAGTTCCTTGCGTGAATGCAAGGCTGAGATCAAAACACAAGACATGGGTACTAAACTCCCACATACTCACCCGGCAATGGACTTGATGCTGATCTTTAAGTAGACAAAAAAGCCACTGCCCTCTTGAAGCTTATCTATCTTGAAATGTTCGGGTATGACATGTCATGGGCATCTTTTCACGTTCTCGAAGTCATGTCATCTGCCAAATACCTCCAGAAAAGAGTCGGGTATCTCGGAGCAGTACAGAGCTTTCGACCGGACACGGAAGTTCTGATGCTGGCGACTAACTTGCTGAAGAAGGTTTGTACTTTCCTGGCTTCAAATTCCCCCTAGTCGCTAATGCTCTTCATAGGATATTGTCACCTCCAGCATTCCCAACATGTCACTTCCTCTGATTACTTTGCCGCACGTTATTACACCTTCCCTAGCAATGTCCTTGCTTCCAGATCTACTCTCCCGCCTTTCACACTCAAGCCCTGTGGTGCGCAAGAAAACGATTGTCTGTCTCTATAGGCTTGCTTTGGTGTATCCCGAAGCTCTGAAGTTGGCATGGCCAAAGATAAAAGACCATTTGATGGACGATCAAGAAGATGGAAGTGTCACTACTGCGGCGATCAACGTAGTTTGTGAGCTCGGTTGGCGACGACCTCATGACTTCCTCCCTCTGGCACCTCGATTCTTTGAGCTTCTGGTTGATAGCGGCAATAATTGGATGGCTATCAAAATCATCAAACTTGTTAGTGCCCCTATGCCGACCAATCGCATGGAATGACTGCCTCCTGAACACCCTCTGACCTTTCTAGTTTGCAACATTAACCCCGCTAGAGCCAAGGCTGACTCGCAAACTCTTACGTCCATTGACAAACATTATTCAAACCACATCCGCAATGTCTTTGCTCTATGAATGTATCAATGGCATCATCCAAGGAGGGATTTTGGATGGAGAAGACAATCTCCAGGAAAGAGACGAGGTTGCCACTCTTTGTGTTGGGAAATTGCGGGGTATGATAGTCATGGATAGTGACCCTAACCGTGAGTATCCTTTCATCGCCTCTCAATATATGATCGCTGACCATCGAGACAGTCAAATATGTCGCACTTCTTGCGTTGAACCGCATTGTTGCCACGCACCCAACATTGGTTTCTATGCAGCAGGACGTCATTATGGATTGTCTGGATGACCCGGACGTTTCTATCCGATTGCAGGCTCTAGAGCTTGCCGTTGGAATGGTCAGCAGTGATACTCTCCAGCCAGTCGTCAACCGTCTACTAAATCAGCTGCAACAAGCCTCTGCCCCCGCAGCTGAATTGGTTGATACGCCCCAAACCTCTGAAAGCCCCAAAGTCCCAACCTTATGGCCCAACGACTACCAAACCGAGGTTGTCCACCGGATCCTCGATCTTTGTTCTCAAAATAACTACTCTGAAATTGTTGATTTTGAGTGGTATGTCGCTGTGTTAGTACAGCTAGTCGGACTTCTCCCACCGTCGGAGAGTGAAGACGATTGGAGTCAATCGAAAGAGCAAGAGGTTATGCCAAATTTGAGGATGAACACCGCGCTTCGAATAGGGACAGAAATCCGCAATGTTGCTGTAAGGGTAAAAGGTGTCCGCATGGAGGCCACAAGGGCAGCCGAGTCTCTCATATTTGTCGACAACAGATCAACTTTTTTCCCTTCCGGTTCAACTATCGGCGATGGTGTTTTGGGCCCCATCGCCTGGGTTGTCGGTGAATATGCTGAATATCTGCTTTCGCCCAACCGGACACTACTGTCATTGATTGACATCTCTAATGCATCGCTTCCCTCCACAACTCTTCCCCTTTTTTTGCAGGCCATACCAAAGGTGTTCGTTCAGGTTAGCCAGACCAGCCAACCAGGAGATACTTGGAAAAGTGAAATGTCGCTTTTGCTTGCTAGAGTCGTTGAGTTCCTCGAGGGTTTGGCGGCCCATCCTGATTTGGATGTCCAAGAGCGAGCCATCGAGTTCCTTGAAGTCCTCCGCCTAGCAGCTGAGTCATTGACTTCCGATACACAAGAAGTCCCATTTCTTCTCGCCTCAGTCATACCCAACCTATTTACAGGGCTCGAACTCAACCCTGTTGCGACCAGTGCCCAGAGCAAGGTTGTCTTGCCCGATAGCCTTCGGCTAGAGGAGCCATTCAGTCACAATCTGCCAGAACTTTTCCGCAACCTGGACAGCCCGTCACCACACGAGTCAAAGTCTTGGGAGACGTCAGACTTCTATCATCTTCCTGAACTTTCATCTCCCAACAAGCAGTCTCGTGATCTTGCACCGGTTGATATGCAGCCTCATGCGTCATATCAAAACTTTACCGGTGCTCCGGTGGAATCCTCTACTGCAGTACAAAGAAGAATGCTCGAGCGTCGGGAACGCTTCAAGGATGACCCCTTTTATATTGCTCCTTCGGGAGACTCGTCTGGCACGTCTACGCCATTCCATGAAGCTCTGAATACATCCAATGGCGAGGTCTTGGACATTGATTCCATCCCCATAGTTGACTTGAAGTTGGGAGATGAACAACTCGGCCATGTTGATTTCGATCGCCAAAGAAACCGTCGACCCCCTGTGAGCAAATTAGTAGTTGCTGGCGATGAGACCTTTGGGACCCCAAACTCTTTGGCAGACACTTCCGGACACAAGGGTGGTGATGACCACCCTACGTCTAAGCGCTCTTTACTCCAAGTTGACTCGAGCAGCCTAGGAAATTTGTCCTTGGGAAACGGCCCATCTCCCCAGATTTCCGCAGATGAAGGGGACACAGAAATGGCCCGAGCAATGCAACAAGTGGAGGAAGTGCGATTGCGGATGCAGCGAGCATCGGAGCGAATCCAACTAGAGGGCACTCCGGCAGAAGGAACCCTAGTCAAGAAGAAGAAGAAGACGAAAAAGCACGTTGCTTCAGACCGAGCGGTCGAAGATCCTACGGAGTCTGCGATAGGGAAGAAGAAAAGGAGAAAGAAGAAGACGCAGGAATCAGAAAAGCTACCACGCGAGAATTGAATATCTTCTAGGCGGAGTAAATCTTGCAAGGCGTGTGGTATTTGGCTCAAGCAGCAACAGTGAAATACAATCAAATAATACCTATTTCAAAAGGGAAAAAAAAGAGCTCCGTGATATGCAAACCATCTTGGTTTTCGACATTCATTTGTCCCCAAATCCATCCCTTGGTCCCTGGTCCATGGACCACTCACATGAAGTGAGCTCGGATAGGGGGATGAGATATGGTCGGTCATGCTGACTCGAAAGATATCAAAAGGTTGTAGGGTATTGGCGCAGTAGGGGAATCATTGCTTGAAGTCCATGTTATCCTGTGATCCGGGTGAACCATGTGGCCACAGTGGACCAGAGTTCAGGGACAATTCGTAAGAGCTCTAGGAGAAGACCGCCGCAAACAACAAATGCGAGTAACACTAGAAGCATTAGCATGGTTCGATTTAACGTGAGTTAGATCATTGTACATACCAACCCAGGTTGCTGAAAGGGGTGACTTTGTGTTCTTCTTCGGTTTAATTGTGGTTGGCGCTTTTCCTCTCTTCGCGGCCTCGGTCTTTGCGAAGCGGTCGTTTGCTCGACGTTGCTGTGGTGTTTGTGCCTGGTATATGTTAATCATCATCCATGGAAGGATAACCTTTGCACCTACCATGATGGGTTGTGGGGAGATATTTGAGGAAGATGGATGGGGAAGGGAGAATGATTCAAGACGTGAATGTGCCGGCAAAAAAAAGGCCACGTTGTTTTTCGAGGAGACACGTTTTAGTTACTATATAGAACCCCCCCTGAAATTAAGTGGTTTCATTACAAGACCAATTGCATTATGGATGAGCAGAGTATATCTGTATTTAGAATTGAACCCAATTGATTCAAGCTACTCTTGTTCTGATCTTCTTATTAAGGGAAAAAAAAAGCTATAGATGAAAGGTTTCCAAGGTAGATATAGAGAAAAGAGCTTGGTTTGATTTGATTTATGTCTGCCGCACAGCAGATACCTTTCTATACCCCTTGACATGGAGTGTTCTTTTGCTGTCTATAGGTAAATATACATGTTCATGGATACATACTATCCATGTACACATAGTATGTAGTTATAGTATGTATAGTATGAATTTATATGAATATATACACAAAGGCGGCGTGAAACATCGGAGGCGGTCAGGTATGACATCAGTGGCCTTAGTCATCTTAGTCGACCTCGGATCACCTCCAGGTACAAAAGACATCCAAGGCACACACATATGTACTGTATCTAAAACCACCGGCAGTGCATTTGTCCAGACGATGCGGGTAGGTGTGTATGTAATAAGGGGATTAGTGATACTAAAGTGACCATGACCAGCGAAGGTTGTTTCTCAATATTGAATCTTAATTATGTCAAAGTAAACATCGGATACCATGGGAGATTGATTGAGTCATGTACATTCAATAGGCCATTATCATTGAAGAAGCGATTTCCACTCAATCTGGTCACTGGCCGAGTCGCCGAGAAGATCCGTAGAGCCCATACCGGTGCCGCCACTCCCTGGACTATCCTGCAATGGTGTGGGTTGACCAGGTGATACTGTCGCAGTTTTTGCCTGAGAACTTAGCGATAGCGGTTTGCGAGGAACAGCCGGACGGATTTTTCCCGTCCCAACTTCCCGAGATGATGAAGATCCTGTCGGTGACTCAAAAGTGTCACGTCGCGGAGGTAGCATGGGCTTCTTCCTCGTATCTTGAACAGGGTCGGTGTTTCTGTTCTTTATCGAGCCTGGACTTGGTACCCAATCGACATCTGCAGAAAACGGATTGGATTTGCGTTCGGGATTTGGGATATACCCTTGCTTTGGTGGTTGCACTGTTGCTTTTACTGATGCGCCTGTCATACATTAGCAAAACCCACCATACCCACAGACTGAAACACTCACCATTATCTAGCCACCATCGACTTCTGTCAGAGCTTGCCGGTGGGAGCCCCGGTGCGATAGAGATATGTGGGCTTTCGTCATCGTCCATGTCCAATAGAGAAACGGAGTCTGCAAGAGAAGTGTGACCATGACCTTGTTTCTCCTCGTATATAGATCGCCTAAGACTTTCTTTCAATGCATGATCGACGATATCAATGGCACAATCGAAGGTTGCCCAGACTGGGCGATGGTCAGACACTTTCAAATCCGCAGTTTGGTAGTTTGTCTGCCGCAGGTTGCTTCCTCTCCACAAGATTCGGTCACACCATGCAGGGATCCGCGCTTTCTCGCTGTCATAAAATGTTAGTTGCCTCTTGGTTAGATTCACACGGTACTTACGATGTATCATAATTGTCTCCTCCAACGTCGTACTTATAAGTCGGCGGGAACTCAATTGGGCCCTCTGAATAGAACTGGAACACCCTCCCCGCTACCATCTGTAGATTCAACTGTTGTTGTTAGCCCAATGTCGAGTGCCAAAAAAAAGAAGAAAAGGTTATGTGACTTACTTGATCGTTGTCGTATAACCTTTGATAGTCTCGCTGCAAGATGAGCTCTCTTACGCTTGGGTTATCCAATCCAATTCGATAGTTGAAATCACCCAGCCAGATCACTGCGTCATGATCAGCAATTGACCGGTTCTTTTGAAACCTCAGCCCTTGGTCGATGATCTCATAGTCCCTGTTTCTCTCATCGTAGTTTGCAAACCCGGCAGCGAGATGGGCGGTAACGAAACAGACACTCGTGTTGGAGAAGTCGAAACGCACAGCGCAGCCGCCCTTGTTGCCGGCCACGCCAGAGAGGCCAGTCTGTGAATACCAGTTAGTCAAAATAGATTCGCTTCGAAGAACCGTGAGTAACTTGCCTTCTTCACACTGCCTTCGACATTCTTGATGTACTTCAGTGAATCTTCTTTCACATAAAGCAAAACGGCAGCGCCGACTAGCTGGCCACTTCTCAGGTGCACATATTTTCCAGTCCCTTTCATCCTCGAATGGGTGTTTAAGCAATCATGCACCGCTCTTTCCCATACCTTGCGGGTACTTGGATCGGTGGACATAATTTGTTGAGGGCTTAGGGCGACAATTTCTTGGAATCCGACAACAAAGATTGCCGGGTCTTCGTCGGACTCATCTGACTCTGGGAAGAGCCATGGAGTGAGATCAGTACCTGGGCCTTCATCGCGTCCATTTACGTTGAAACTGCCAACCCAGAACCGGACTCGTTTGCGTGAAGAATATTCTGGAGCTCGACGGTTCAATTCCTCCATGACCAAATCATTGATCGGGTCGTAGAGGTATACAGGGAGTTGATTTGTTAGCCTGCCCAAGAGAAGATCAATCGTCCTCTGTCTGGCCTTGTCTGTAAAATTGTTGACATAAAGGCGAGTGGCACTCTTCCGCGCATCTGCAAAGGCACCCGCAAGTGACATCTTTCCGTGTCGAGTGAAAGAGGATTTGAGGGCGCCGGTTCCGGCATAGATCTTCGAAAGAGCATCACCATTATCAGCCCAGATGGTCGAATGCCGGACCTGCATGTCTGAGCTGACCTGACCACCTTGCTGCGATAAGAATGACTCCAAAGCCATCAAACTGATAATGGTCTGAACGAGGTTTGTTCTGTCCAGGCAATCCAGGCAATTGGTTCGAAAAACACCATCTTGTTGTAAAATTACCGAAGAGCTGTTCACTGTATCATCGCTATCGTATGGAGTTTTGTTAGGACGGCGTGAATCTTCCGACAAAAAGTAGGAAAACTGGTCTAATGAGTTGATAAGCTCATGTTTGATCTGGGAGCTGGCTTCGTATCCCGAAGGACCTCTGGTCTCAGCAAGGAAATCATATTCGGTAATTCGCAAGAGGCTCCGACGCGAAGAAGTTCCGTCACCTTCATTCTGCCGGGTTGAGCTCTTGCTGATGTGCCGTCGAAACTTGGACGACAACTCTGCTTCCCCGGGCTTCAGTTCACTTAGCAGATTTACCACATGTACCGCGCCATACGCCAATACCAGGGATTCAAAGTGTTTGTTAAATGCGTGCTGTGTTGCGTCGCTCGACCGCGTGACCTCGATCTTCTGCTGGCCTGGAATGAGGCCTGGGGCCTGTTCCCAGAAAATAGGCACCGAGCCTCGGACTTGAACGTACGAAAATACGATTCCCGGTGAAACCCACAGAATAGTCTCAGTTTCCACAAAATTGGCAACATTCCCATCATCGTCAATGCCTCTCGAGTTAAACCTCGTACCAGCACGCCGAGAAGCTTGTCGGGAGATGATTGTCAACATCGAAGGGAAGTTTGTCCGCACATGAGGAAGGATTGGAACTGTCGCTGGTACTTTAAGTGTACTGGCAAATCCACGGATAACACAGGTCAACATCTGTGATGCATCTAATTTGGCCTTATCGGACGGCGGCAAGTGGCTCCGGAACAAGAGAAGCGGACTGATCATGTAAGAATTCCACAGCATATCTTCATCGAGAGTGTCGATGTCAAATGCCACAGATTTATTGGCCCTTGCAACATTGTTAGTTCAAAGAGGTCGGCAAGCGACGAGCAAGGAGCTGATAGCTTACCGGTCCTGTAGGCGATCTGTGAGGTTAAAATCGAGGCTGTAATAGAAACTTCCATCTCCAAGGAGCTTCTTCAATGCCAGAAAAGGATGGTCAGTTACCACATCCTTTCCGTCTGTGCTGAGTCCCTCCTCGGCGGCGAATTGAGAACCGGTCTCATAGTCTAGGCCGTACTCGTATTCTGAACGATTGAGACAATCTGAAATCATCAGCAATAATTCGACAAGAAATTTGCATAGGAAACATACAGAAGCCTACATTGTCAATTCTTGACACGGTTTCTCCTGGTCTCACGGCGGCAGCTTGGGAGGAGCTGGTGACGACGCAGACAAACACATCTTCGTTGAGAGTCACAAGGCCGAGGGTACCATATCCATACCCCAACGGCCTATAGCCTTTTAGGTCCACTGCCCCCAAGTCCGAGAACTCAACTTGACAGCGTGGGCTGTCCTTCGCACTGGTATCTGTTGATGTGTAGTGGAACACCAGGGCATGTTCTGACGAGACCAGCGCAATTGTACGTTGAGGTTGATCTCGACAGAGAACCCGGAGATTCGTCATGACGCGAGAGAAATCAGAGTGTGCGGAGAAGCAGTGGCATTGCTTACTTCCACATCAATTGCTTTTTATCCTATTTTGGCGATTTATATACCCCAAAGAGAAAAGAACCACTTCACCTCAAGAGCCTGAATAAAACGAAGAGATACCTTGAAGCCTCAATGTCCACAATGAATTCTTCAACAATAATAATAATAATAATATCAGAAATTATTGTCGAACTTTGGGAGTTGTCAAGAGCTCCTGAGGTCTCTCCCCGCGAAGTCGGGAGCCCTGGACATTGGGAGGCCCTTATCGGTTGCTTACTCATCCCGCGCCTCTCAACTTTTTTTTTTTAAATTCTTCGATCTCCAACAGACATTTTCCTTCGCTTGATCCGATATTGTCGCCATGGGTTTAGCGGGGCCGCGGAAGTATGTGACCCAACCTAATACTTCCACACATGATTTTCTAATGCATGAGTAGGAATACCAAGATCGGCAATGATCCTAATAACACCCAATGGACCCGGTCCACATCCGGGTTCGGACATCGGATCATGAGCTCTCAGGGCTGGACTCCTGGAAGTCTTCTGGGAGCAAAGGATGCCGCGCACGCCAATCTCTTGACCGCCGCCAGCGCTTCCCATATCAAGGTCACCCTCAAGGACGATAATCTCGGATTGGGTGCTCGTATTGGACGAGAGTGCGAGCCGACTGGACTTGATGCCTTCAAAGGATTGCTTGGTCGACTCAATGGAAAGAGCGAAGTGGAACTCAAGAAGGATGAACGAAAGCGCGATGACGTTCGATTGGCTCGTTATGCTGCCCTGAAATTCCCGGAAGTCAGGTTCGTCAGCGGGGGGCTGTTGGTACAGGAAAAGGAACCCGAGATTCCTCCGCCAATCACCCAGGACGCGACACAGAAGAAATCTAAATCAGACAAGAAAGAAAGCACAAAGACCACCGAGGACGACGAAACCTCTTCGAGCGAATCGGATGCCCCAGACCGCAAATCCAAGTCCGAGTCTAAATCCAAATCAAAGTCCAAGTCCAAATCAAAATCAAAATCAAAATCAAAATCCAAGAGGTCGCGCTCTCGAGACGAAACCGATGGCAATGAATCAAGCTCGGAATCAAAGAAGAAAAAGAAGTCCAAGAAGAGAAAGGCTGATTCCGAGCAGAGCGATTCTTCAGACAAGACATCTGAACCGGAAGTCAAGGTAGCAGCAACAATATCCAGGGAGCGGCGGCCGATGGGACGGAAATGTTACTCGGTCACGCCATATCGCCCAGAAAAAGAGAGCCATTATGGACGACAAGTCTCTCAACGAGGTAAGCTATGCCGCAACTATTTTCCATGATCGATTGCTAACCTGAATCAGATCTTCATGATCAAAGCATAGAGTTTATGCAAATCTGCATCTGAAGCGCATTGGACATAAAACTGGGAGTTATTTGGTGTTTGCTCTTTTATGATTTTTCTATCTTGAACTAGATATATCCTACTATGAATGAAAAGAATTCCAATATTGAAAATGATATAAGGGTGATAATAACCGAATACTCTAAGGCTACTATTGTATTATATGCATACATATATTGTACATGTCCAACGGGTATTGTACAGGTACTCTTTACACCTGGATATCCGACAGGGGAAACATATGGATTACCTAAGCTGGAGGGTGCCTTGCGGGATCCACATCCAACGTCATATCTTTTGACTTAGCGTATGCTCCTAATCGTTGATTGCTCGTCATTGGGGGTGCACAATCCTGACTCGCACCCGAGGCGAAGTTGTACATATCAGTTGTATCGAATCCTCCACGGAGAGTTCGTTCCGGGGTCCACCGCAGCTCGATAATCTCTGACAATCTACATGAGCTTTTAGCATCCCTCGCATTGCCACGACCCGAGCCGAGACAGGAAGCTGTGCAGAAGTTCCATCACTACAGGGGGTTTGTTCTTCATCCTCACCCAACAATGAATGGGGAAGTTCGGTCAGCTGGGCATGCCTCGACGCCTACATCTCAGTCGAGTCGCGGAAGAAGACGGTAAGTCACGTCCAACAACTCTTCGATTTACCCCCTAACTCACCCCATGTAGCATCCACTGGGCGCCTTTAAATATCGGTCTTGAGAGACGTCTACAAACATTCGTGGTGCTATGCCACACTTTGACCATCGCTATCTTCCTGACTAGCTTCTTCTTTACCTGCGCCATTCCGTTGTCCTGGCCACTCTTGGTCCCATATCTCGTTTACATATCTCTTTTCTCTACTGCTGCTACATCGGGCCATCTGAAGGGTCGTAGCCCTTTCTTGCGCTCACTTCCTATCTGGAGAGTGTATGCATCTTACTTCCCTGCTCGTCTTCACCGCGAGGAGTCGCTTCCACCCACAAAGAAGTATATATTTGGATACCATCCACATGGTATTATCTCCCATGGCGCGTTCGCTGCATTTGGGACGGAAGCTTTGGGCTTCTCCAAGCTGTTCCCGGGAATCACCAACACCCTGCTGACGCTGGACGCGAACTTCCGGATTCCTTTCTACCGAGAATACGCACTTGCCATGGGACTTGCTAGTGTTTCCCGGGAATCCTGTGAGAATATCCTCACCAAAGGAGGCCCAGATGGAGAGGGCATGGGGCGAGCAATCACGATTGTCGTGGGAGGTGCCCGGGAATCTCTCAATGCCCGGCCTAATTCCTTACGTCTCGTGTTGAAGCGACGCAAAGGGTTCGTCAAGCTCGCTATTCGAACGGGTGCTGATTTGGTGCCTGTCTTAGCTTTTGGTGAAAACGACCTCTATGATCAAGTCGACTCAGATCAGCACCCTATCATTCACAGGCTTCAGATGCTTGTAAAACAGACTTTAGGATTCACCATTCCCCTGTTCCATGCACGTGGGGTTTTCAACTACGATGTTGGCCTGATGCCCTATCGAACTCCTCTCAATATTGTGGTCGGACGACCAATCCCGGTCATGCAGCAGCAGAATCGTGACAAGATCAACGATCAGTACATTGATGAACTCCACTCTCGATATGTAGAGGAGCTGAAGCGATTGTGGGATCAGTGGAAGGATGTCTACGCCAAAGACAGAGAAGGCGAGTTAGAGATCATCTCATGATAATACATCCACCCTTTTATGTATACGGGTTTACCAGTTCACTATGACAACAAGTGGACCTTTTACGGGCATATTGTACAGCATATAATGAAATAAGTACACTCGATCTCTAATGTAGTTCGGATTAAATACACGAGCAAGAAAGTAAACCTATGAATTGGGTATCAGATCGGACAAAATCAAAGAGCTTCCGCAGAAGCATTAGGAAAAAAAAAGAAGAAAAAAGCAACGCTTTGAGGTTTTCATGCTCGGGATGGCGAGCTGGGATTTGGATCCCATGAGGGAGCAGTTGGGTTTAGACGCGGCACTTCCGCTGATGAGGATACTCGTCGGCTTTCACTGGCAATGCTCCTGTTCTTAGCGTTGTGCCCACTTTCTGTTCGAACCTGGATCATTTCCTCCAGCATACGCGAGACCTCGTCCATATTCTTCCCCGCTTCCTCCTTTTCGCTTCTACCGGACAAGGGACGTTTGCCTGGACTCTCTGGCTGTGCAGTGAAGCCATTGGTCGCTGCAAAATTGTCCACATCCCCAGCAGTAGACCCATTTTTGCTCTTCAACTCTGACTGCGAGTCATTGGTCACAGTAGCCAAGTCTCGATGCCGAGTTGCGGATCGAAGCGCAGCAAGCATGCGATCCTTATCATCGAGCTGCAATCGGAGCTCATTGATCTCTATATCCTTCTCGCGGACGACAGCGGAGATATCTGGATGCTCGGCAATTGTGGCATTTGCGGGCTTAATACCCCCTGACATGCGGGAATGACTGGACCGCCTTGCCTGGAGCAGCCGGCGCTCTAGGGTAGCGATGTAACGGTTCTTATCACCGAGATCAGCCTGCAGTGCAGTGACCTGTCGTTGCAAGCTGGCTTTGCCATCGCCGAATTCACCAAGGTCATATTCGTCCTCGTTGCCAAACGACCCTCCCGGGTATGACGAGGGATCGTTGCTATTGACAGACATGAATGACATGGGCCGAATTGATGAATGGCCGGCACCTAGTGTGGACTGGCTAGCGGAAGAGCGTAGTGACCGCGCGCCCGAATCCGTTGCAGACATGCGGGAAAGACGTCCAAACGCAGAGAGGCTGTTATGGTTGTTTACACCGGTGGACTTGGAGCTCAAGATCAAGCGATTGAGATGTTCGATCCGCTCTTTGAGCGCAGTCCGAGCCAACTGCATTTCCAACACTTGTTCCTCGTGTCGGGCCTGTGCTTCCTTTTCATACTGCTGTTCGTCCCATTTGAGTTCCTTCTCCGCCTGGGATTTGGCCTGGGAGTCCAGCTGACCGCGAAGAGCCTGGATCTCCATACGGTATCGTTCCAGCAGTACCCGACTCCCCGAATCTCCGCCACCGCCGCCGTATGCCTCTTCGGCCTTTTTGGCATGACTGACAATATTATTCTTCGCCCGTGCAGCGAATTTCATGGTATTCAGAGTTTCACCGGTATGCGAATTGACCGCGCTCGTGAGTTGGATGGTGCACAGAATACTCACAAGCGAGCCACCAGACAAGGCTGGCTGCAGAAGTCTGGTCAACTTGCTGTCGCGGTAAGGCAAATGCCTCCCATCGCGGTCCGTAGGGTTGCCTTGCTTATCTTTGTTTTCCGACAGCCGAGAGATGATGGTGCCCAGAGTGAGCAGACTTTTGTTGATATGAGCACCCTCTGTGCGGCGTTCCTTATCCTCAGCTGCACGTTCAGAGCCAGCCAGATCAATCAGACTCAATGTTGAAACCCGCACGCCACCCGGGGCGATCCCGGAGCGCTTATCGAGGGAGCTGCCGGAAGGCACTCGCTCTCGACTCTCTACCACGATCTGAACCACCGCGTGACTTCGAGAACTACGCGCATTGAACTGTGTGCTGCTGGTTCGTCGTGCATGGTCACCTCGAGCGATAACACGGAGGAGCTGTGTCGGGCTCTGCACGATCTCTTCCTTGAGCGGCGTTGCATATACTCCTCGTTTGCTATCTTCTCTCAATTTGATTTCCTCCTGCTGAGCTCCCGCTGGGGCGTTGGCAGCGGAAGCGGAAAGGAGGTCGTTAATCTTCTCGTTGTAGATTTCCAGATAGCTGACCCGCAGCAAGAACTCCCGATGCGGGGTCTCTCTGATGAAAGAAAAGATGTCGGTGATTGCGAGTGGGATTACACCGGGGGAAGTTGCTGTTCCCTGCATAGAGAAGGTCTTTCCGGTTCCCGTCATACCATATGCAAAGACCGTCCCATGATAACCCTCCATGACGCGCCGGACAAGACGTTTCGCAGCCGAATCATAAACCTTGGCATTGTTTTCCTGTGGATTAAAGACGTTATCTGCTCAACGGGTTAGTGACGACGGGTGGGGGGCAAGTGAGTTAAGGGAATGATCATTCTCACCATAAAAGTAATCGCCTCCTTCTTTCCCACGGTACGTGATGAGGCTTCGCCGGCTATCGACGGACCATTCGCCATGATTTCGGGGAGTCTCCCCTCCACTGTTGTTGTCGGGACGAACGCGCACGCTGACAAGCACATTGCCCTTGATCTCCTTTGGCTTGGAGCTTGATTTTCCCGTATCATCTGCATCCTCGAAAGTGGTCGCACTCGTTGAGCAAGATCCTTGGGCGGATGAACTTCTGCTGTGGGTTGGAGATGTCTCCGGATCTCGCGCATCTCCGCTCGATATGAACTTCCCTTCTCCACTGCCGTTGAGTAATGATGGAGTTTTCGAGCTCCGATAGCTGCTTGTAGTTCCGGTGCTCAGTCGCGAGCTTCTTTGGGGTCGCACACTGGAAGTAGCACCTTGGATACCGGAGAGCGATGATGCGGTGGATGGACGACTGCTGGCCTTTGGTGGTTGAGGAAACGAGGCGATACTAATTGTTCGGCGCAAAGATTTATCGGGGCTACCAGGAGCGCGCCCGCCGGAAGCTGACCGGGTCGCGTTTAGACTGGAGGTTGAGTTTGAAGTTGATAGAGGTGACTTGAGCGATGGTTTGGGGGTGGATGGGGTCCGCAGTTTGGAGGTCTGGTAGGGGGATGCGGCCCGTGGCGTGTCGGAACCCGTAGACTTTCTGGGTTTAGGGTTGGGGAGGGAAGGTTAATGATCCGGCTGAAGGGTTTGGTACTGGCCGCGACAGTTGCGAGGGCTGGGGCAATGTTGACATTGAGGCCATGGCGACTTTGTTTCTTTTTAACGCGAGAGATGTATTTTAATCGGAATAAGTGTATGTGACGGCCATAAAGGCAGATCGACGAGGTTCAGCCTGTACCATTTTTTTTCAAAGTTAGCTGATGAATGAGAGACATGAAG